GAACTTGCTAGATAAGCCTGCAATATTTTGCAATTCCCTAAAAATTCCATAAATTTCCCGCAATGCTGGGTGATAATCTATGATAAAGGTACTCTTATTATTTTCTCTTCTAGTTTGCTCACTTCCCCGTTTAAATAATGCCGACCGATCCAAAAACCTTACCCTCTTAAACTGACTCTCTACAAATTCGCTATTATAGCCCCTTTTAACCAGAAACCCTTTCAATACCTGAAGCCTACTCTCAAAAACCTTATCTGAATGGCAAATCCGCTTAAGACGCAATGCCTGTCCATAGGGAATTCCCCTCTTAACATCTGGAGGATGGCAGGACTTAAAATTTAAATACTGATGTGCATCAGTGGGTTTACTATACACGTCAGTACAAAAAACCCCATTTGTTATAGCTTGCGTAGCAGGCGCTATTTAGGGGGAAGGGCGAAAAATGGAATGGGCGAGAAAGAAATAGCGCCTGCAGGAAAGCCATATGTTTTCTCATATTTCGCGTCCGTGAGCGGACGCGAAATTCTGATTGGCTAATCAGTCATCAGGGGTTTTCCAATTAATATTCCCTGTGGTTTTAGATGAGTTCAAAATAGCGGCCTCAGTATTGACGAAGTTCTTCTTAAAGTGATTAGCTATATTTAGTTGGCGACTGGCCACTGTATTCAACTGAAAGAGGAGCAAGATAAATCAGTTCGGGACCTTTTAAAGGGAAAAGATGTTTTTGCTGTATTACCGACAGGTTTATGGCAAAAGTTTGATTTACCAAGCTTTCGTACGAGCGCGTGATTATCATACGTCAGGGAAAGCAGCTATTATTGTAATATCCCCAGTGAATAGCATTTATATTAAAGACCAGCCAAAAGATATGGAATGGCAATGTTTCTCGTCCGTGGATGTTTAAATCACTATAATTACTATAATCACTATAGTTTATACGCTATAATCACTTTCAACTTAGCCTATTCGCTATAAATTGATCGAGAAAGTTGCCGCTTCGAGTTGCTGTCGTTGTTGTTAACAACTTGTCCTGCGATTGGGAATCTCGTTCTTCTGTGTCGAGGAAAAGACTTTCTAGTACTAGATTTGACACAGACATTTAATTTCTTTCTTTATACACTTCCGTTGTGTGATTTCTTGGCAACTGCGTTTTGCTTATCTCGCTCAGATTCTTTAATTGTCGTTCTTCCTTTACAAATTTATATAGTTCAGCAACGTTCCTTATTTTCCTTACAAGGTTTACACACTCGATCCGATAAAGTTTCGCTTCGATTCAACTTAAAGCCAATGGACTCGCACGCGTTCGCTGAAATCAAATTCTGACTGCATTGTCTGTCTGACGGCTTAAACAAATTTTCAAAGGAAGGCTCACTTTCACATACTGCTTTTAGATTGCTGTTGCAAAACCTGCATGTATCGTTAGCGCTTGCCTATTTCGCTTTTCTACCTGCTTTTTTACAATTTTTTTTTGCGTTTTAAACATAGAAATACACTTTATAGTATACACGCGCATTAACTATGATTATGCATAGTGTTGTGAAACCAGATCTGTCATTGGGAAAACCATTAGTTGCGTCTAATCACTGATTGGCTTGTTTTTTAATGGGCGGGACTTGGGCAGATGGGAAAACATATGGCTTTCCTGCAGGCGCTATTTCTTTCTCGCCCCTTCCATTTTTCCTCGCTCTCGCCTTCGCATTCCCCCTAGCTTTTCCCATCCTCGCCCTCCCCCCTAAATAGCGCCTGCTACGCAGGCTAGACGACAGCGAAAATGCGAAATAGCAAACATTTCTTGATTTGATGATTCGGATAAATTTCTTGCAAATATATTTCATTTTTGCAAGATTTTGTAAATTTCAAAAGCTTTCTCAGAAAGAAAGGGCGAAAGAATCGACTAAAAGAAGGGAGCCGACGTTAACGAAGGTAAGTTTGTTTTAAATATTGATTTTATAATTGCTTTAAAACCCGATGGCCTTTGCGTATATGAAACAACTCAACAAGACAGTATATAATTTAGTGTATCTTTAATATTGATCCCATTTTTATTATATTGAATTTTTTAAATAAAAAAAAAGCAAAGTTATTTGCATGCGAGAATTTGAAATCATTTAGTTATTGCAAACTCAAAGTTTATCGATAAAGCCATTTAATTAAAGGCAGTTTAGAACACTTTAAAACGTTTTGGGAAGCGTTTGTGGTTAAATTTTACCTTAAATTGAAGCTTATATTACGTACAATAACATACCTAACATATAAATGTTGGAAAATTGATAATTTTGTAATTAATATACGTAATATGTAATTAATTATATAATTATAATACTTCATGTTCGGAAAATGCAATGGTTTTGTCAGCATGGCGAGGGTTTCTGCATGCATGTATTTTCTAGTATATCCATACTTTGCCATACCATATTCATAGTATGGAAATTTCAATTACTGTCGTATGAAATTGGATTTCCATACTATTTTCAACTAAAATCCATATATATTATTTCCATAGTAAGGATTTGAAATAAATTTGCCGTGATAGTAAAGGCATGAATTTCAAATTGTCAATATGGGTTTGTAAGCGTTTCAAAACGCATTTACCATCCATAGGGATAGGGAAATGGTAAGTCTAGTCAAACACAATTTATATTACTGTACATGAATACTTTTACATATATAGATGAAACAATTGAAGGTACTAGCGAAAGTAAACAAGCGGACACAAAGGTAGACGAATCTGACAACCAAATGACTGTCGTAGATGACGTTGGTAATAGTAGTCCTGGTGGCAGTCCTTCAAAACAACGGTCTGTGTCAAGATCACGATCAAGATCATCATATTCTTCCAACAAGTCAGGTAAGGTTGTAGTTCTATTGTAAATACAATTTTTCGAAAACCCTAATGGTGAGATGTATATTCTGAGAATGTACAAACTAACTATTTTAATATCTACAGTATTTGTCTGTTCTTTATGTTTGTCTGTTTGTAAAGCGTATAAAATATACAAAACACACAAGACAACAGATTTCACTTCGGTCCATGGACATTTTGCTCACCTAGGGCTAGGAGGTTTTTCAGCAGATATACAGTGCTTTTTTCTAATAAACCTACCTGTCTCTTCGTTCGTTTGTGTGATAGTTTGTTAGTTCATTAGTTTGGGTCATGTAATTGATTTTTCACATCGGTTTTATTATTGTCATAAGATTACGATAAGTGTCAAACCATGTATAATTCTATCTTGCTTTTGTTCAAAATTGCTATTAACAACGAGAGTAATAATAAGCTATTTCGAACCAATCTTGTCCCTGGGTGTGTGCAGTAAAAATATATTTCATCTGTATTTTGTTTAGGATCTGAGGATGAGTCAAAAGAGGGTGAGAAACAATCTAGAAAGCGACGTCACAAATCAATATCCCCGATAGTTTATGATAAAGACTCGTCTGGGAGTGAGAGTGAATCCTCCGGTTCAGATGGTAAACTTAAACTGTATTTGTTAAATTCCAGTGCAAGATGTACAAACCTATTTGCATATCAAACCAGTTAAATCGTTCTTTTTAAAACAAACTGGCCTGCCCAAATTTCAACATGGCTTTCCCCACACTGTTTAATAATCTCACGCTGACATTTTCTTTATAATATGATCGTTCTCTGAAGACAGTTATTTGGTTAGAAGAGATAAAGAGTGCGCATTCTGTATTCAATATTTCATTCGACAATTAAGTAATTTAATGAAGAAGCTCAATAAGCAATCCAAGTATTTTTTTGTGTTTAAAAATAATTCAAAGATGAGAATTATCGTATTTGTCGTGGACAAATAAACACGGAAGCAAAGGCTGTTTTTTATGGATTTATTTAAAATAACAAACCGCTGTTTTTATTCCTTGTTTGATATGTATTTTTTAATGTGATATTTAACTCCAAAATAATTAATTTTACGATTCTTTATTTTAGGAAGTGGCACACCTGTTAAAAGTAAAGTAGATAAAGTAGAGAAGGAAAAACCTAATATTGACGAATATTTGATGGATGCTCGTTTTTTCATAATGAAGAGTAGCAACCATGAAAATGTTTCGCTATCCAAAGCTAAGGTTTGTATTTCACAATTCATTGATATGTCCATTATTACATGTACAGGTATATGCAGTCACTTGAACTGTCTGTACCAGTGTAGGTAGTGCCAATAATATTAACACGCTTTCGCCGGTAGGGTTGCAACTACCTGAAAAATATAAGAAGAATTTCAGGTAGTTGCATCCCAACCAACGAAAGCGTGTTAATATACAATGACTGTGGATCATTAACCAGGATTTTGTATTTGACAGGGTGTCTGGTCTACACCATACGCAAATGAAAAGCGAATCAACCTTTCCCTCAAGGTAACACTCTTATGTTTATCGTCATCCATACTACCAAACCATACAATATAAAGATTGCGAAATTTTGTTTTGTTTCAGTAAATTAGAGTTTTTGTCGTTCCTTGTATTGTGAGCTAAATTTTGGAAAAACCTAAACATCAAATCTGGTTTGCCTTCATAAATTCTTCATTTTCAAAACTTCAAGAAATATGCAATCTTGTAAAACTGGTTAAACAAACATTCAACAAAATTCGAACGACATTCGGCCTGGTTTTGGCAAAGATCTTTTTGCATTTGATTAATACAGAGTTGCAATCTGGGAAAACCGGGACAATTTGTTTATATATGCATTATGGATGGAGGATTTATAACTTACATTTTTTTCTTTTTTCTTAAAGAAATACCAGAATGTTATCTTGATATTCTCCATTAAAGAAAGTGGAAAATTTCAAGGTTTTGCTCGAGTATTGGATGAAGCAGAATATGGTGGACGGCCAGTACCATGGGTTTTACCTCCAGGTCTGAGCGCAAAGGCATTAGGTGGAGTCTTCAAACTTGAATGGCTTAACAGGTTAGATTAAGAAATTATTACACTGGCCGCAGCCAGTGTCATAGAATGCCCTTGCTGAAAATGCTGTCTTTTTCGGGGGTATTTTTGTTGTCGCAAGTGTGACTTTCCTTTGCGGCATCGTGGGCTCAGGATTGCGCAATTTAGCTAAAGCATGCTCACGCTGATTATGACCAATTCAACACAATGTTAACCAGAACGAATTTCGTATTTAACTACGTTACAAATCTTAGACGCTGTAATTGTGGGACGTACAGTGTATTTTATTATATTTCATTGCGCATGCGATTGAACTTTTCTGTGTTTTCCGATATGATATCGCTGAACTCTATTGGTTTTGTATGGATTTTTATTGTGCCGTACTCTGAATGTTTGTGATCATGAAGTGACGGCCGTCAAGAACAACATCTACATGTTTCAAATTATTTTTTTGAATATTGCGATGGTATTTTACCAACCGCGAAGCCAGTGTGAACGCCTAACCAGGCGTCTTGTTTACTTATTCAATCAATCAAACCATTTAGTTCAACACGACAGTTCAGTCACTAGTCAGAGGAGAGTTGATGTGGTCATGCATAATGCTACGTTAACTAAACAAAAAGTATTCTCCAACTAAACTAGTCACGGATTTCAAAAATTACCAGTGTGGCTAATCCATCATCGTTAATATAATATTCTGATCACTATTTTTGTATTTGATTAGGAAAGAATTGCCTTTCTCAAAGTGTTCCCATCTGCGAAATCCGTACAATGACAACAAGGACGTGAAAATCTGTCGTGATGGCCAGGTAATTGTCCCATACAATCTTTTTGTAAAACTATTTTATAGTGTGGTTTTTTGGTCCACTGGAATTAACTTTTTTTCAAATTCGGAATGAATTGCACAAAGCTACCAGGTTTTATATGGCAATGACGGAACCCTACGAGGGAGAGTCATTCTGTAACAATAATGTAGAATGATAATACAACCGTGAAAGCCTTGATAGGGTAATATGTGCCTTCATAGGGTAATATGTGTACATCCTTGTATGGGACTTCGTGTCCTCTTGTTGTTGCACCTGCCTTACGGCAAATTAAATAAATAAATTTATTATATAAACATAAGTGTTATATAGAGTTATGAGAAAAATCGTATTTAAACACACGTAAAAAATACGATATTTTTTTTTTAAATACGATATGTGTGAAAATATCATTTGTTGTAAAACGCATTGCCACGGACGTTTTATTGTTTTTCACTGAATTTTGTTTATATAATAAACAGAAAAATACATGGGTGCTTGGAAATACCAGATTTATTTCTCGTGTTGAACATGATATCTCACTCGTTCGCTGCGCTCACTCGTGAGGTATCATGTTCAACACTCGAAATAAATCTGGTATTTCCGCGCACCCATGTGTTATTCTCTATATATGCAAATTTGAATTAGATTTAAATCAAAATCCTGTGAAGGCATCAAGTTACAATAGTGAGTTTAAGATCTTGACGATAAACTACCGGCTGCGTTTGAAATAGTTTTTGTTATATGCATGTATGCAAATACTAAATACTAAATTTATCCCAAATATGTTTTATGTGCATGACTTTGTGTCCGGTAAGTTTCATCTTATAATTTTCATCATTTGTTTATAAAAATACTCTCGAACCTGCAACGTTGCGTAGTCAGTTTCGATGCTATGTTCTTGATTCTGATTTACAACACAAGAATATGATTTTTCGCTGTAGCCAAGGTGTCGCGGTGAAAAATATGCTGTGGGGAAAAGTATGAACTTAGTATGAGTTTCTACGGTGTAAAAGTATGCTGTGGGGATTCTATGAGTTTCTGCGGTGAAAAGTATGCTGTATATATAAATTTTGTCTACGTCTGTTAAAACAAAGCGAAAACAAGCGTTCAACCGTATTCCGTACCCGTCGTTCGTTGTCGGCATCTTAAACGTTCCCTAATTGCGTTGCCGTGCAGAGCATGATACCACAGGTCTCCCGAAAAGGTCTTTTATTTTTTTGAATCCATAAAATTGCTTTAAAATGCAATGCTTATATTCTCACTTGATTAATCTACACTAAAACCTCTATAATTCGTATTGCATGAAGTACATCTTACACAGTGCATGCGCATAGCTTTGCATCACTATGTACACGCGTAAAAATTGAGAAAATCAACAACTTGTTGCAAGTCGATATCGACAGGCGTGAACAAGGTTGTGCGGCCAACTATGAACAGTATTGTCAACATGTTGTTACAGCATTGTTCAACTGTAACAACTTGGAACAAAATGGTTGACAACTTGTTCATAGTTGGCCGCACAACATTGTTCACGCCTGTCGATATCAACTTGCAACAACCTGTGTGTTTTTAGCTGTGTATATTATTTCCCCAAAGTTGGCAAGAAAATACCGATCTAACACTGTATACAAAAACTAAATGACGAAAAACTACCACTTAAACATCGAAATTAAAAACTCATGATCAGACAACTTCAACACTCTGCAGTGTATTTTCTTTCACCACATTAAAACGAGTGAATTTTGTGAAAATTCATCAAATTGTTTACTCATTTTAGTCGAATTTTTTTTCAAACTATGCGGGATGAAAGCTGCCGTCACAAAATAAAGCTCTGTGATTGGCCAAGATTTCGGCCTTCAGCCAGCCAATCAAAGAGCTTTATCTTGTGCCGATGGGACGGCAACCGTCATCCCACATATATTTTTTTGCCAACCTTGAGGAAATAATATACATGATGCAACGCTACCTTTTCACGAGACCTATGATGATACACGTGCAATATCTTCTTTCTCGCCGGCAGCGCAATGAAATTTGACCCGTTGCGTTGCCAGCGCGGGAAAACGATCGCACGCGCAAGTCGCAACCTACAATCAGGAGCAAAAATTATGGGAGACATTCTATTCGCCCCCCCCCCCC